AGAAGTATTGATGAGGGAGGAAGTGTGTTCCAGAGCTAAGTCTGCATATGGTGCAGAGTTGCAGAGTTTGTTTTCCAATATGGAACAGAGGGGGTCCCACAAGGTGTGGTGGAGGTTGAAGTTACCCACTACAAGCACAGGGAAGAAGAAATGGGAGAACGCCTCTTTAAAAGAGACCATGCCACAGTGGGAGGATGAGGTCCAGAGGAAGTAGAGGTTCAGGATCCTGGCCTGGTATGTGAGGAAGAAAACAAATCACAAGGAGTATAGATATCAAGTACTATAATGCGTGAGTTGTCAGAAAAAACAAGGAACACCAACACATTGTCAAGAAAGAAATGTAGAGCAAAAACCATGACCCACAGCTTCATATCTACCATAAAAGCGATTTCAAAAGACTTATAACCAGCAAAATGTTGGAGTCTGCTATAAAGAAATAGAGAGTCTTGCAGTACAACTACCACAGGAGGGGAGGATAAAGCAATCAAAGCATTAAAGAGAGAAAGAAACACATTCCAGCTTCCCAATTAGTTGTGTTGGACAAGAGTAAGAGATCTAATATCCTCTTAATGAGTAGTAGAACCTGAGGAAGAAGGGGGAGTGCTTCTCAGGAGGTCTCTAAACTCACCTGATGTCGTGACAACTCACCTAATCCTAACCCTGATGTGACTTATACCTCCATGCTACCATATCCTTTGACCCACATGTGTAAGTCATATGAAATCTATCAGCTGACTCCTATGAGTTAACTGCATAACATACTTAAAACTAATTATAAATATTATAACAAGTCTTGTACACCATGTGCATCACATGCATGAAACTTATAACTCATACTTGTAAGTATTACCTGAAAGTCAAAATATCATATGACTTACAAATGTGAGTCATTGTACAATAATAAACAGCTATGACTCATGAACATAAGTCGTGTAAAAACCTTATTCCACCATTTCTGTTTCCCGTAATAAAATCCAGTTTATAACATAATTCTATACCAGTTAAGTAATTTATGGTATAATCATGAACGGAATTACCGATCACAATAAATGACCAATATTTATTTAGCCACCCGTGGATGTAATGATCTCCCATGCTTCTCCAAAAGTCTATCCAGGTTTGCTACCATCTCAGCAACCCTCACTTCTCTTCTAAGTTCCTCTCTCCCTTCATCATTCGTCACAGTCCCAGCAAAATCCCCTATAAACCTTTCAGAATCACCATCGTTCCAACTATACCAACCATCCACCTCCTCCGATATCTTAATAGAAGATTATGTAGGATGGAACTCCCCATCCTTCTCAATGATAACAACTTTTTTTTTTTTATGGCAGTTATCAGCTGTTCTATACTCTTTGTATTACTCTGTTTTCCCTACCTCTGCTGACCAGCTACCTTGGTGGCCTTTATAGCATCTGCAATCTCTGTTGCCTCTCATAGTCATAATACCTCTTTAGTACCAGTGACCTATACTTTTATGAGACACCAGCAGTCTGCAGTCTTCAGCTTTGAGGTTTATTGATCTTATAACAAGGTATCTATAATGGTCCATAATTCTCATACTGGAGTTGCCACCCCTTTTACCATCTTAATTTCCAGTCTCGCTAACAAGCATGTATTACATGAGGTTCATAGGATAGTAGGTACAAGAATTGTGGAGGTTTTCTTGGAGCATGATTGCATGGTCTTGCTTTGGGCATTCAAGATATGTTTTGAATTTAAGAGCTGTATACTTCTGTCTCTCATGCTCCAAGACATTTTTTTCTGTATATACATGTTTCTGTACAGATAGCAATATTCTGTATATTGATTAATTAATAAATTCTTCATTAATTTAAACTTTATGCTTTCTTATCATAGAAACTCTCCTTTATTCATTCCTTCTTCCTCCTTCACTATTCTCTTATCTAAGCCTACACTATAGTAGCACTGTAGAAAGCCAAACAATTCAACATCTAGGAGCTGCAGAAGGTGTTCCAAGTAGGTGGGAAAACACATGGGCATTACTTGGTGGGAGAGGCAAAAGTCAAAGAAGTCTAAAGTGAGATGTGATGTATATCTATCGAGTAGTAGTAACTGGTTTTTTCCTTTTTTCCTATTCATATTTCTCCTATTAGCTTACAGTATCAATAGAATGAACTTCTAAAAGCTGGTTAGATAGGCCTGTAGCTTAGTCGATAGTCATATAGTATTATTAAAGTACTTATATATTAACCGTTGAGAGTTCAAAGCTCTTTTCTAGCCACTCTATCCCAAGTTTCTGATTGATCCAACCTTTTTTTAAGTAAGAAAAAGTAGACATGTCTCCTTTCCACATTGCTGCGTACCATCTCTGATAATGTACTTCATATTTATTGATAATCATTGCAGGTAGGACAATTCCTGCTGCAGAAACAGCCTCTGTTACTGTTACCTATTCCTGACTTCCATCATGTGTTAGTCTGGAGTTTTTCCTTTCTTTTCTACATATTACTTTAACCCCTTTCCCCTTCCTCATTATAAATTCTTTCTTATCTATATTATTCAAGTTTGCAGGTAGTATTCCATAGTAATTGATGGCTTGTGATAACTTTATTCCCTAATTAGTAACTAATAATGGAAAAATAATAGCAAGAGAGAGTGCCTTTGTAAAATAGTTTCTCAGTACTACTGGGTTGCTTGCCAATACCCAATGTCGATCTAATCTGCTGCTAAACCTACTTGCTAGTTTAGAGTTCCTATTCAAGAAGCATTCTAACCAATGGTTTCCTAACTTTTGCTGACTTGTACACTTTTGAACAAGGTGCTCAGCTATCTGCTTCACTCAGCTAAGTTTGTATGGAAATTTCCAGTAATCCAAGCGGCTACACCATCATACAATAACCTAATCTTCCTGCTTGGTAAACAATTACATAAGGTGGCGACTCGTATTATAATACTGAACTCTTTTAAGTTGGTCCCATAAAGTAGAATATAGTATACTATACTTCTCCCCATTATGCCTTATCGTGGTGTTTTCACTCTTTCAATAGGCCTGTATTGCAAGCTAGATTTTATTTTCGCACTCCAATCATTGCGCTGCATTTCGTTCAGATATGGTATAAAGTTTGGGTATTCTTGCTTGCTGGCTCGATACTCTATACGCCTCCTGCTAATGGCAGGGTAGTCATCTTCACACTGATTAGTTTTACCATCATCGTCAATTATGTCATAAATTACATTATACCAACTTACAAATAATGATAATTTAATATTTAAGATCAAGTTTCCAAAATTTCAAATCCACCAGTCACTTAATAAAATGATTTTGGAAGTAGTTGGTATTAGGCAGTATTTCCTGTTATTAGGTATGGTATCAGGAATTCCTAGCAGAAAGGTAGTTGTATTACTTCATTGTAATATGAGTTGATTAGACCCTCAAAATAACAGAGATATCTAAGTAGGCAATACAGTAGTCTGGCTACCTTAAGAAGTAAACCTAGTAAGTGGTAGAATCACAATCCTCTCCAAAGTAAAGCTCTCTCTGTATGCATGTCTTTCAACCTATATTTTTCCTTAGTGAGAAGTCATAGCTATTAATAAAAATCCCTAGTTCTAGGTCAGATATTAGGACAAGATAGCAAGAAATAGTTTTTATCTATTCCAAAAAACACTTCGCAAACATTAAGTGGTAGTTTTTTCTTTGACTGTAGTTATAAGACAGAGTATAAGAATATCTAAGATATGTTTCTTGTATCATATTATTATGATTTCATAATATCAAGTACATAATATTATTATATATATGCTTTCTTAAATAACTATACTATACTAAGCATGATTTTAACCAAAATATTACAATATTGTCAGGAGATACTGCTTTACTGCATTCTGAGAAACTACTTGAAACATTTCCTTTTAATCCTATTATAAGACCTATAGTATCATGTGATATACTTTAATTATTTATATCCTATTATTAAATTATAAGAAATTGCTTACCTTTTTCCAATATAATATCAGTTGTTATAGTAAAACTACCACTAGCACAATATTGAAAAGATATATGAGAGAAGATCTTTGATAACCAGTGAGAATAAAATAGAGAAAATAGTAGTAAGAGGTATATAACATTATATGGTAATATAGTTAGGTAGATGAGAGATGTTAAGGAGGTAATTAGATATTTTTATTTATATTAAATTTTCTTAATAATATTATGATACCACGAATTTGACCAGACAAAAAAACCATAGTTGCAGCAGAAATTTATGGAGGCTCTGAAAACACCATTACAAAATCCCAAGGTCCTTGGCCACTTTATCGGACATCTGACAACGCTCGGTCATGCTACTAGCTTCTTGATTGGATCCCTATATTGCTGCAGCGACCGAGCACCAGTCCATTATTACCATACTAGGAGTTCCAGAAGCCGTTGAAGGGAAGAGTGTAATCCCCCCGCTTCGATTTTTAATTCGCAAGAAGCAGTCAACCAGACCACTGAAGTTTACTGTACGAGTACTCCAGTAGAGCCACTATGAGTTCGATTTTCTAAACACAGTTCACTCTACGGCAAGGGGAATTATACACTTCCCCCCCATCCTTTCGGGCTAATTACTCGTCCTAGCACTTCACGGGAGATTTCACCACCCCTGATGTCCGCCCTATGTCTCCCGACCTTAAAACCCTCGAGTGATAGCTCCCAGACTTGAGCCTAGAGCCTCCGAGAATGGTTTGTAAAATTGTGATGCACTGTAAGGTTTGCATCTCGATCTGATGGAAATAACACGTGCGGTTAGTAAATATTGTCTAGCAAGTTAATTGGGGGAATCTCATTAAGAACGACATAAACAAAGGCAACAATGTTCAAATTTCTGCCCGCTGGCTACATCTGTCCATCACTCTCGCCTTCCCCCAATCGGCACCAAATGGACAACGATCAGCTAGCTTGCTTAGTCATAGCTGTGCTACCAAGCTAGGGTTTTTGCCGCCTTCTGTTCTCTTGGCAACAAGAAAATTTCGGCTACAAACACAACCTCACACTGACCTCCTCTCATCCCTTCCTCAACTTCTCCCACTACCCCTTTCTCTCAACAGCAACCTTCTCTCAATACTTTTCTTTCCTTATCTACTTTTCAAGATCTCCATCTTAACAGCTGCATAAGGTGCCTCTCGCTCTCTTGGGCCTTACTTCTTCCCAAATCACGTCCTCCGTTTCTTGTAGTTTTGCTTCAAAATTTGATCATGGCCTACGACGCCTACCGTGGTAGCGGAAACAGTTATGGTGGAGGTGGCGGCTACGGTGGTGGAGGCGGTGGATATGGCGGTGGGTCTAATGGATATTCTAACGGGTTTGTCTCTATCTCTGTCCCCAAGGACATGTTTGCCACTGGCTAGATACGAGGCAAACATTTCGGATGCGTGTATTTTTTTTAAACATCATCACTAACCTTATCATAGCGGACCCCGCGGTGGTGCTGGTAGCTATGGAAGTGGTAACTCTTATGGCAGCGGTGGCTATGGGGGTGGTGGTGCCGGCGGTGATCGTATGAGTAACCTTGGTGCAGGTCTTAAAGCTCAGTCGTGGGGTAATATTCCATTGAATCTCGATATTGGAAGACTTTTGAAGACTCATGTTCCATAGATATGAATTCCCTTCCTAAATTTGAGAAGTCTTTCTGTAAGTCCGCGATCTCATGACAAGAACGTTCCATCCACTCACATTTCACAGATAAGGAAGCACCGACTGTTGCAAGTCGCACACCCGCAGAAATCGAGGCGTTCCGTCTTGAGAAACAAATGCGTGTACAGGGCCGCGATGTTCCTAAGCCCGTTGTTGATTTTGACGAGGCTGGATTCCCTAGTAAGTTTTACGCTTTCTTATACATCTCTTAGATACGCGTTTACCCGACATAATACTAATGTATCTGGCTCAATAGGCTATGTTATGAACGAAGTTAAGGCTCAGGGATTTGCCGCACCAACAGCCATTCAGTCTCAAGGTTGGCCGATGGCACTGTCTGGGCGCGATGTTGTTGGCATTGCCGAAACAGGCTCTGGAAAGACGTTAACTTACTGCCTGCCTGCTATTGTTCATATCAATGCTCAACCACTCCTTGCACCAGGAGATGGCCCCATCGTTCTTGTCTTAGCGCCAACTCGCGAATTAGCTGTTCAAATCCAACAAGAGGTTGCTAAATTTGGGAAGTCCTCTAGAATACGTAACACGTGTGTCTATGGAGGAGTTCCTAAAGGGCCTCAAGTCCGAGATTTGTCCCGCGGCGTTGAGGTGTTGATTGCAACCCCTGGTCGTTTGATCGACATGTTGGAGACCAACAAAACTAACCTTCGCCGTGTTACCTACCTTGTTCTTGACGAGGCTGATCGCATGCTTGATATGGGTTTCGAGGTGGGATATACAATGATTAATATCTAGATCTAAAGGATGAAACTGCTAACTCGATTTTAGCCCCAAATTAGAAAGATTCTGGGTCAGATTCGCCCTGATCGTCAAACTTGCATGTGGTCCGCCACCTGGCCGAAGGAAGTTAGACAGCTTGCATCCGATTTCTTGAACGATTTTATTCAGGTCAACATTGGTTCCCTGGAGCTCTCTGCCAATCATAACATTCAGCAGATAGTGGAAGTCATAAACGATTATGACAAGCGCGATAGGTAAATGGTCCTTGGTTTTTTATTACTTGAACTCTCCTTGACATTTTCTATAGGCTCATTAAGCACCTTGAGAAAGTAATGGATGACAAGAACAGCAAATGTCTGATCTTTACAGGTACCAAACGTACCGCTGATGACATTACGAGAGTATGTTCTCCAAAGCCACCGTCTTGTTGCCCTCGTATGATTCTAACCACTATATAGTTCCTTCGTCAAGACGGCTGGCCTTGCCTTGCCATCCACGGCGACAAGCAACAGACCGAACGTGATTGGGTTCTTAACGAATTCAAAACGGGCAAGAGCCCAATAATGGTTGCTACTGACGTGGCCAGTCGTGGCATTGGTATGATATTTGCACGCCTTTTCTTTAACCCCGTTTCCCCTTCGTGTGTTAGCGTACAGATGCTCTTCTCTCGACACTCCGCCGGACTTGCTGCCATATCTTGCTTCTATTCCGGTGTCTGTTGGTTTTCTCCCATGAGAACTTTATCTCGGGGTGCAGCGATCCAAGTCTCCAGGCCTCTTTCCATTGGCGTTCTATTGCCTCATCTTCGTAATGTGAGGTAATGTTGCCTGGTTATTCGCTACTGCGCTGCACATCCCGAGGTTCAAACAGCACAGGATCCTGGATTTATGCAATGATGAAGTTATTGAAGGCTGTGAGAGTGAGACGCATAATGCCGCCTTGCACAGGAAATTTTAGTTTTTGGCCAAGTGTTTTTCGCTAGTGGTGTGATGCTAACTTGGTATGTCGCAAGATGTTCGTAACATCACGCACGTTATTAACTTTGAGTGAGTAAAAATATCCCCTTGCCGATCAAGATCGAGAATTAACTAATTGCGACCTTACAGTTACCCAAATAACTCTGAAGATTACGTTCACCGCATTGGCAGAACTGGACGTGGAGGGTGAGTTTCGATATCATTTCTCCCCATGTACTAAGCAGGAAACTAATCAGCTATAGCGCCCGCGGAACCGCCATTACCTTTTTCACCACCAACGATGCAAAGCAAGCTAGAGATCTGCTCACTGTTTTGAGAGAAGCTAAACAACAGATTCCGCCAGAATTGGCTGACATGTCCAGATCTGGCTTTGGTGGTGGGGGGGGACGTTATGGATCATCCCGTGGCCGCGGCGGCCGTGGTGGTGGAGGTGGAGGTAAGCTTTTACGTTGAAACCCCTAGGTAGTTAAATCCCTAACAACGACCTTGTCTGCAGGTTTTACCTCTTCTAACAGCGCACCTCTTGGGCGCAGCCGGTTCTAGTGCTTTCGCTCGCCATAAATAATTACCGATAGGCCTAGATTTCTTACACAGAATACTTGGGGTTTCATAGATTGGTTTGCTTTGCTCACATAAAATCAGGGGTCACGCTTCAGTATGGTATAGTTTTTTTTTTCTTTTCTTTTTTCATGCTCTTCATACAGTTTTATCCGTTACTTTTTTCGTCTTTTCCTTATTGCTATTGCTTTGTCCGGAATTTTCTGAAGCCACTGGGCCGTCTGCGGTGAGTGACAAGGTTATCATTCGCAGTTGAGTTGATTTTTATGGAGGGATATGGGATGGTCGGAGATTCAATTTTCAGCAGTTTGGTCGCCTTGAGTTACATAGTAATAAATTTGGACGGATTCCTTCCTAAGTTTTTTTAAAATCCTGAGTGATGGATGGCTGTCCTCCTGATACCCGTGGGAAACGGACTTGATGGTGTAATGAGGACTTTAACCGCGGTGTATGAAGAATACCCACAGCATGGCCATCAGTGTGATAAAGGTCCTGGGATGTCGGTACTGGTATCACATTTGCCAGGCCAGCGAGGAGAGGGTCCTACCGGTATCCTTGAGCAAAAAGGCTTCGAGAATGATGAGGGCCCTCCAGGTACGTCCAGGTACGGGGAATAAGCTAGGGGTCCCCGGTGTAGGATTTTCATGTCTCGGCAATCGGGGGTTGCGAAAATGGACATGGTTAATATTAATTTTTATTGCCTTGCTCCTTACCCTTCCCCCCACCTTCCTCATACTCGAGTATTCGTACAAGTACAGTATCATACAAGGATAGATGTTGAATTCATGGTACAGTACTCGAGTACAGTACTGTAGAGTACGGTACCCTTGTACTTGTACCTGTAACTCGGGATTCTCCGAGTAGGAACCAAAATCTAAGCCAAACCGTGCGGAGCATCTTGTTTCGGAGCAGCAGGAAGAATCGGAATAACCAAGACAGAGCCCGCAAGAAAGGGCGAGCCAACACAAAGGTGGGTCTGCCGGTTGGCTGGATGGAAGGAGAGAGATATGATATGAAAGATGTAATGGAAAGAAGGGGCTAGGGGTTACCGGCGCGGTAGCCTTCGATTGATCTCTCAGGAGACGCGATAGCCTGTACTCCAGTAGACTATGAGGAGGGAGGAGAGAGAGGATGAGTATCCAAACCACAGAGATACAGGTGGTCAGGTTCTCAACACTTACTGAACAGATGTAACCTGTAAGCACCATTTGTGCAGTCTACATACTACAGTACTAGTACAGGTTTCAGTACTCGAGTACAGTATAGTACAGTCGCGGTAAGAAAGTAACGGGACACTAGAGGAAAAAGTACGTTTTTCTTCACTCCAGGTTTATAAATGTCTCCCACAAAATTAACAAAATATTGATTTATAACTAGTACTTGGTTCGGGCACCATCCTTTTCAATCAAAGACTTAATCCTCCTCGGCATCCCATCAATCATGCTGTAAATCTTGCCCCAGTCTAAGTATTCCCATTCCCCTTGAGCAACATTGACTACCTCCTCCTCAGTCTATGGCTTTTTTCCCCTAAACCTTCTCTTAAGCTATAACTTTAACATATGCCAAATGTTTTCCACCGGATTCATATCTGGTGATTTCACAGGCCAGTTTAACTTAGCCATATCGTCAGTTCGATAGTAGCCCATTGTCAATACCGAATGATGAACCCCATGACCATCTTCTGCAATCTGGTATCCTTTGCCCTGCCCCGGAAGTGACTGAAAAAAGGGAAATACGTGAGGCTTGAGGACATCGTGAACAAATTGTTGGCTATTAAGCCCTAGTCCATTGCAAGGAGAAGTACGTTCACTTGGTTTTGAGTGTCGAATATAAACAAGTGGGGTATGATACCCATAGGTGACTGCAGCATAGAAGCTTGTTGCAAACCAATTTGACTGCTGATGTTTTTCTTGATAGCGTGACTGCTTTCCAGTTCCAATCTTTCGTCGAACCCTTCTTGGACCTCCTTGCTGACCACTACTTGAATAAGTAGTTTCATCCGTAAAAACACACATCCTCTAGTCACTTCTCTTCCAGCTTTCCATCTCTCGTGCCCATTCTAATCTCTTTGCCTCATTTAAAGGAAAAAGCTCTTCCTCCTTTTGCGCAACAAAGCTCCAGTAACCTTGAGCTCTTGCCTCATTTCCAACCAAACACTCACTTACACCCAAACCTAAGTTATGAGTGATATCCTCAACTGTGGTATCGGGATCGCTTTCGATATAGTCAGCAATCACTTGTTTGTTCGTATCGCTGAGTTTTGTTGGAGCTCCGGAGTGTGGTGCATCCTCCACATCACTCTTCTCCGAGTCCCTCAATCGCTTCACGATTCTCTGAACTGAGCTTTTTCCGTAACCAGTTTCTTGTTCAATCCGATAATATGTGTACCCGTCTAAATGCATTTGGATTGCCCGTAGTCACTCCTCTTTGGTTGCTTCACGCCGCTTACCAGTATCATTTCTGCGAGGCATTTTTGTAGGTTGGATCACTATAGTATCTCCAAAGCTCATGATCGAGAACCTATTATGTCATTGCTATATTATGGTTGCAACCACACTACAATCCCCCCGGTTCTCTCCGATTTATTTCTGCTAGTGTCCCATTACTTTCTTACTGCTACTGTACAGCAAAGTGTTTTAGAACATGTACATTGTACAAGTACCTCCAGGCAATGTGCAGGACACATTCAAAAAACATTCAAAAAGGAAAAATCAGGGCCAGATGCCGACATATACACAGATGCTACAGCACCTACTCGAGTACTGTGTCCTACGAGTATCTAACACACCGAGAGAGAGCGTTGACTATATACTACAACAACGTGCGGGTCACAGTTCGAATTCACACAAACTTTGAATACCGGTAGTGGGGCAGACAGAGAAGAGAGTCGGGGACGGTTGCAAGTTGGCCCTAGAAAAGGGAGGAAAAGCAAGAAAAACGCGACTCTTCCGGGTGGAAGACACGGAGATAGAAATTGAGCGCGAGTGAGAGGAAGGAATACGGTATGTTACCAGAATATGCACCCCTTTGATACATGAGTATGAGTACAGCTATAACTGATAAGCACAAGTTCAAACTGTATCCCAACGCACAGACATACCGTACAGACAGATAGAGAGGGCACCTCCGACCGTACTCGAGTACTTGTACTTGTATAGTATTAGTACAGTATCTATATATTACTGCAGCGTACTGTAGTTATCGGACCACACCGCACCGTTAGTGAATGGTCATCGGTTCTCCTTTGAGAACAAGCACTGTGCGATTCCATCCATAAACAGGCCACGTTCATCTTCACGACCACTTTCCGCACACATTCAGATGCTACGGTACCCGTACCATACTCTTCTTTTTGGTCTTCTATCTTCCTTTCTTTTTCTTTTACAGTAGCAACGCATGTCGCACGGCTTCTGCGATAAACCATGTGAGGGCTCAGCGAGGCGGCACCCTCAGCGAGGCGCGGCATCTCTTGGCAGCAACGAAACCCTACCACATTTTTTTTTTCTCTTCTCTTAATACATGATGAACATTCTTCCTCTTTCCCTCTCCCTACTCAAACAACTCACAACACAAGAAACAAACAACACAATTACCTCCGGAGAGCTGCTCTACTTCGGAGGTGCTATCAACAAAAACCAAGTGAAAAGTCAATCGACACCTCTCCGGGATCAGGAGCTGTACCAGCTCCTGCTCCTACAACAGAACTCTCTCCAAGTTCTTGGTCCAATCGACTTCCTGTTTCTTCCTCCGAACTGCCTACAGACAAGGAATCCTCCACAACATTCTGTGCCATATCCTCAACGTGTTTTTCAAATTTTCTCACCTTTCACTCAGCTTCTGAGATCTGTTCAGTAAGGCGACCTTCCTCTTGCAACAATGCCGCTCCAGCTTTTCGATGCTTTGGTAATCTTCCCTCCTCTTCTAACCTCTCTGCATCCCTTCTCTTTCTTATACACTCTGCTAACTTTTTCCTCCTAATCTTGACTAGATTTGTTGCATTTTTATATTTCTGTTGTGTGGTTTCCCTTTTTTCTTGGGTTTGGGATTCAAAAAGCTTTGCAATATCTTCACAGTCGATCCAAGACTTTCCACTTGTGGGTATCCGGGTATGATTTACATTTTGTCTCTGGTGAGTTTCTGCTAACTGGTTCCTCAGATTCTGTATCTGGGGATTCTTCTCTTCGCTATTGGTAAGTCTTCTTTTAGTACTCATTGCTAAATTACTAACAATCTTCTTCAGTCCCCAATCAATGGATCATTTTGTGGTAATGTTGCCAATGCGATTAATTCCTGTCACTCAATTTCTGATTTGTCCAAAGGTACCTCAAGGCAATTGATCCATTGCGCAGTAAAGGTACTTAGCGGTTCCAGATTGGATGGTATCGGATTGGCGTTGGGAATACTTGGATTTGAATTGGAATGGTCACATGGGGATCTTGATCTTGAGGCCTGGATTTTAGACATCATAATTTTTCTGTTAACAGGAACCAATCCTGTATTTCGAAACCCGCTTTGAATGTTATCGGTAGTAAAAGAAGATCGGTGTGCTATCATGAGAATTTCATAGAAGTTCTCTTTAGAAACCCCGTACTCGTGTTTTTTGAATCATTGTGTAAGTTCTTTTTGATACTGGTATTTGTAGGGACTGAATATACAAACATCCAATGGTTGTAATTGATAGGTTGTATGCGGAGGAAGGTACCAAGGAATAATTTTATGTAATATGCAGAATTCTAAAAATCTTACATTAACATGACTACTGTGTCCATCAAAGAGTAAAAGTCGATAGTCACCTGCTGCCTTTTGTGCTGATAAACTATCATGACTATAGTTTCGTCTTAGGTATTCTTTTGCCATACTCTCATCAGTCCATCCATTATGTGACCATCCAAATAGAATATCATCTGGGACACCCTTGACCTTCCAAAACTATTTGGCTATAAATTCCTCGGCCTTGAGAATAATGGTTGGATTCAAGGCAGTTCTATACGTACAAACTCCTGCAATTACTATAACGAATTCTCATGTACCATCTAGTCTACAGTAAGTACTAACTTTACATATATAATTTAAAAACTTATAATATTGAAACCCACTTTGTGCACGCCATTTCAATTCACCATTCTCTCGTGGATTTCAAAATACTTCTAATACTCACTTAGACTGACCAAGACCAAGTAGGAATCCAACTTCATCGATATTATATGTATTATGAGGATGTATTTTGTACTCGTGTACAATTATATCTAACTATATGTACATAATATTAATATTTAACCAATTTATAATATAATATAATATAACATAATAATAAAAAAACATGGATAAAAAATACCTCATCATAAAAGCGATTCATGAATCCAATATCGT